TAAGGACTTCAAATTCTGCTCTTTATTTATGGTGCTTGGGGGGAAGATTCTTACCATTCCTTGCAAGTTTTTTTAGTATCTGTTAATTAGCTTTTATTCTTCTTCTGAAAGGTTTTATGAGACTGTTTTATGAGCAATTATGTCTGCGTTTTTATTATTTATGCCCTAAAGCAATGTGTGGCATCACCACAATAACCAGCATTACAACACAAACAGTCAGGGCAGCATCTGCAGTCGAGACACAATCAACCATCTTCCCTCAAGAAACTTCCATTATCACCAGGAATATTTGGGTCTTTTCAGCTTCTGGCTGTCATAACTTACCTATAAAGCTGGCATGAATAATTTGAGCATTGAGTATTTGTTTGAAAGCTTCGTTGGTAAAACTTCCAATGAATGCTTATTCATAATTCATTATAAATGCATTTATAAGGTGTTATAAGGCATGCATGTTGCTTCACGTCTGAATAATAACAATGTGTAAAACAGACTCTTTGATGGACTTGTAGAGTGACTTTCCTACACACATGCATTTTGCATATGATTATCTCACTTCTTTTAAAGCCTGTAAAGAGCACTTATAATGTTCTATAAGGTTCTATGCACTGAAGTGAACATTCAAAAGACAGCTTAAATCTCTAAGTAGTGGCATAAAGTGCATTACAACATGAGTGTCTACAATGTTCTTATGAAAGATATTATGCATATAATGCATTTTGGAACCTGACTCTGTAAAGGCTTATACTCTTGCTTTATAAAGTGTTATGCATGTAATGGTAACTATTTAAGAGTCATTATGTAAGCCTGGTATTACAAGGCATTGTGTGTAACACCTTACACGCAAGATGAATACAGAATAGGAAGTGTTGCTGCTTAGTCTTTTCCAGGCTTGCCACATGGCCATTTACAGTTTTTCTCAATTGCTAACAAGCCTTTTCAGTGCCGAGCTCTTTATTCCAAAACACAGCACAACACACTGTTAAGACCAGTGTTTGGCGCATCAATTTGCAAAAAGCTTTCGACACTGCAGACCACCATCTGCTTGTCAAATGGCTGGACTGGTGTGGGGTGTAGCACGTAGCTGGTTTGTGTCTTATATTAAACATAGAACTTTTCCAGTGAATACTGAAGACCTGTTCTCCCCCACCTCTCCAGTCACTTGTGGGGTTCCGCAGGGGTCTGTTTTAAGTTCATTCTTATTCTCTATACACATGTTAACTCTTGACCATATTGTTGTATGTATGAAGTGTGGCTTGGCAATAAAGACATTACATGATTGCCTCCTTGATATCAAAGACTAGAGGGTTAAACGTTTTTACAGCTTAATGAGAGTGAGTCAGGGCACATCCTGTTTGGTTCCTCTGATCTGATCAGTGACTACCTTGGAAAACTGGTTAACCTAGTGTCATATAAAACCTTAGATAAAAAACCTTGGAACCACCTTTGACCTAGTCATGAGTTTTTCATTCACTGTAAAAAATGTTTTTTCAGTTCAGCCCCAAAGTACTTCAAATAAATACTTCCAATGAAACACAAAGCAAAATTTTAGTTCAGATGACCAAAATCAGTATCTGCAATCAATTGAAACCTCTAAAACAAATCAACTTCCGCCCTGTTCCACTTCACAGCATTGATTATATAATCATCCAAAGAATAATAAACTAACTGCAAAACTACAGAGTAAATAACTCTTTATTAAGTCATAGATTTATCAAATAGTGAACCTATCTTGGTGCCAACTGTTGTTAGTGACTGTGCTGTGAGCGAAACAGTATACTGACTGTAAGAACACTAGTGGTGATGTTTTGATGGAGGGAATTTATTTGGAGATGCCTCTGCAGTGTTTTTATAGCTGTGACCAATTAGGTTATAAATAAACAGCTGGGCTGAGCTTCATGTTTCTGCAGAGAAGAGTGTGAAGAATTTCGTAAATGTAAACTTGGCATTAAAAAATGTTTCAAAGTGATCGTAAAAACGTAAGCTCGAAGAGCACAGAATGCTAAGAACTCATAAGAGCACTTAAAAAGAGAACGCCACTGATTTTTCAACATTTCAGCACAATTCTCTGGTCGTAAACAAAGACATTCAGAGCGACTGGATGTGAAGTGCTTCATCAGAGTTGTTCACAGTGGTGGTCATGGGGACTAGATGTCTGAAGTGTTTAATGCCTCTGAAAGCCTCACAGAAAGTTATTATATCGCTGTTCTCGGAACAAAACCTCGTATCTCCAAAATGGTAACTTTACAGGAGAAGGAAAAAACATACTGTACTTTAAATGTAAGTCAATGGAACCAGACTTTTTCCAAGTTCTTTTGGGTTGTTTCTTTTAGTCCATTCATCATGAAGTTTACATACAATGTAAAGGGCAACAGGTATTTTCAAATTATGTCAAAAACTGAAAAATGTCAAAAATAGAGATACAAGGTTTTCTTCCGACAGCAGCGATATGGTTACAAATATCTTACCTGAGAAACGATACATTGTTTACAACAGTTTTAAAATAAGATTTTGGGGTAAAACTTTTGGTAACAGTTTCTATGAAGCATAAGTAGTTATAAATGTGCTTGTAACTCTTTGTAACTTGGTAACAATGCTTTGTAAGCATACCTACAGACCAGGGGTCACTAACAGGCAGACCACGGTCTGAATCACACAGGGGAGGGATGAGGTGAGAAACAGCAGTTGGAGAAGAAAATGAGGCAGATTATTCTACATGGTGTGCTCTTAAAATTGAAAACTGACCATAAATGTTGTTGAAATATGACTGAATTGTACTTGTATTTGATTTGACATGCAGTTGTTGACTACATTAGATGTTGATATACCTACTTGGCTACTTCAGTGCACAGTTTATGGCTCAAAAGGCTCAAATCAAATTTCTAAAGGGTTTAGGACTCATTTTAGAAAGATGGACTGGTAGTAGAAAGTAGAGTTACTTATATGAAGATGCTGCTTACTTATATTAAACAATGATTGTTAAATACTAATTGTTAAAAACACTGTTTGAAAGTACCTAGCCAATTATTTTGAGAGATATTCAAACTCATTAAGCAAGAGGTAGTTTCACAAATTTTACTACAATTAGGTTTACACTGGGTTCAGAAAGATGATTTGCCAACATGACAGCAAGCAGACAGTAGTTTTTATTTGCACTCTCTGAGAGCACTTAACAGAAATGAACTAACAAAAAACCCAGCCTGCCGTCTGCCTGATGTGAAGTGTTTTTGTGCTGTCTACTCTGTGTTTTATGTGGTGAGGACTATAATGGAAAGAAGCTTGAGGGCTTTATTGCATTTTAATCATCGATGATATAACATGTAACAGCTGCTCTGCGATAACATATGTATTTTTATCCCTAACACTGCTGTTATGTAGTGGTCTGCACAGACTTGTATATTAATACCTGCATCTGCCCGATTCAACCACTAATCATGTCCACCATGCCTGTGGAATGTAGTGTGATTCTTGCCCACTCCCACCTGCAAAACCTAGCACCATTTCTGCAATCAGCTGGTACAACCACACACCATAACCACCCACACCTGTCTACTTTGGGCTGTGCTTGTGGTCGTTGTCAACTCCCACCTGTGTTTGCTGTAATCATATGTGGGACATGTCTGCATAAACCCCACCTTCAGACCCATCACACCTCCGCACGCCCAGCAGCACCAATAAACGCTTCAATGTTGCAAAAGAAAAGTAAATATTTTGTGTATTTTCGGCTCATCAATGCCACGTTAACTTGTGGACCTCTACTGTTATGTTTGGACCTCTACTGTTATGTTCAACTGTAAGCAATAATGTTCCTGGATCAAGTTGACCCGATAAATGTTTAACCATCTGAAAGTAGTTAACCCCTTAAATGGCCAGGGCCCGCCGGTGGGTCCAGACTTTCATTACACACTTCTATTACCGAAAAATAGCTTGACCAATATGCACTGAAGTCCCTGTAGTTACTGACTAATAATGTAACATTTGAGGCGATGAGGCTTTTATTTAAATCTGAATTTAGAGTCCAGAAACTGAGTAGCAGAGATGCGTAGAGCAGATAAGTCCGTGAGGAAACAAAACAGAGGGAAAGCAAACAGAGCACAACAAAACTAAACACAAAGGAAAACAAACTCAACAGCTCAAAGCCTGAAACAAGACTGAAGAAAACTCAAAACAGGGAAGAACAAACTAAGAGGTCACACTGACAATGCAAGACAAAGGGACTGAGCAAACACAAGGGTAGAAATACACTGAGGGGTAACAAGAAACACCTGGGACTAATGAGAGGGCTGGCCTACAGACAGGTAGCAGGACCAGGGAGGAGACACAGACCAAAACGACAACAAAAGCACATGGCCTACGTAAACAAAAGCACATGGAACACGAGGGACGATAAACAAAGGCAGACACAGACATAAACAAAGAAAGACAAAGACTTCATGTTACAAATAAGCCTAAGAGTGTAATAAGCCTTGGATTTTAAGGGGTTAATAAATATAATTTTTTCCAAACTTTCTTTTAACTAAATTAACATTAATTTAATCAATATTTAGTGTATTCAAGTTTTTCACCCATTACAGATCATAGTTTACTTAAAACAATTTACTCATTTTTTATTGAAATAATTTTCAAATTATTTCATATTATCTATTTAAAAGGCATTGTAATGAACAGTGACACTACTAGTGTTACTACATGTTTATAGTTCATCATTAGAGCCTTACAACACATATTTATCAGCACATTTACAATAGATAATGAATATGGGCTTCATAGAAAGTGTTAACAACCTTCTTTTCATGGAGAAAACGCACATTTTTTGGATTTGGATCTACATTACATATAAAAAACCCAGAAGAGACATGTAGGTTGGCTGGTGGCTGTAAAATATATCTGTGTTGTAGACATTGTGACCCCTGGCTCCCATCACCACCATTGTAAAGAGTCGGTAAAGTTCTCTACAACAAACCTTTTCAAAGCTCCATTGTTTTTGCTGAAACTGAATGTACCTGTGTACAAGAACGTGTTGGTGTGTCCTCCGATGACCACGTCCACCCCCCGCACCTTCTTGGCGATCTCCTTGTCCACAGTGAATCCAGAGTGGCCCAGAGCGATGATCTTGTTAACACCTTGAGTGGTCAGTTTGTCCACCTCACGCTGCAAGGCCGTGATCTCGTCTTCAAAAAGCAGGTGTGGTCCTAAGGCCACAAGGAGCTCAGAATGAAATGATTTTCGAAACTTAGGGTAGAAGTTTCTAATAGTTTTATGGCAAAAGGCTGAAAGGTGACTTTGATAAGGTGTTACAGTGCGAACTTGGCAAACTCCAGGACTTATAAATCAGTACCATAAAAAAAGCACTATGAATGTGATCTTGATATCCCAAAGGAGAATTTATAGGAATATTTGGCTGCCCTGCCAACAATTTGAAGTGAGAATTAAAAAAAAAAACAGATAAACACTGAGTTGCCTACCAATAGATGACATATTAATCATCAGATTAATGCTCAGTGAAGATAAGCTTACCTGGGAGAGACAGGGCGGGCGTCTCCTTCGAGGTGTATCCCACTATGCCCACCTTCTCAGAGTTGACAGTCAAGATTTTGTAGGCCAAGTAATATCCACTTATCGTTGGTGCGAGAGTGTTATCAGGCTTTATGTTAGCGCTGAGCACTGTGCAGTTCACCTCCTGAAGGAAGGGCTTAATCAGACCCTCCACTCCATTATCAAACTCATGGTTCCCCAGAGCCTAAAAGCGCAAACAGAAATAAGAAATGTCATGAAATACACAGTACTGTGTCAGAGTTTTTCACAACATTCCTACTGAGGTGCAGCTCTCCTGCTAACCATCATGCCAGTTAGCCAGCTAACGCTATCAGTCACTTCACGCCATGCTAATATGTCAAGGTCACCTACAGGTACAAAAACCATGAACTGTTGATTTGAATATTAATGGAATACATCTTTATATACTGCTTCACAATAAATCACTGCCATCGTTTATTTAATCTACCTTTTGTACCCGTTAACATGACAACAGACCTAGCAAGGATGCTAGCTAGCTAGTTTGCTGGTGTTGTCTACAGTATCTCTCAAAATAAGTAAAATGAAACATTAATATATGGTCAAAAACATTAAACACACAAATTAAGTTAATGTGCGTCACTGTTTCATTGCAGTTGCACTGTATAGCAAAGGATGGCAGCAGATTGTAAAAACAAAAAGATTTCATGTCCTCCATGCCAGCTGAAGCACTTTCCTGCTCGATGATGTGTTTCCTGTTACTATTGCACAAGCTCTCCGCCTCCTAATAAGATTTAGTGGAAAAATCTAAAAGGTCTTATGCAATTCCATTAAATCAGTTTTGGATTTATCCATATTGGGTTGCTTCTAATGAATATAAATAAGGAAAGTATATTTTTATGTTTTATGTAAAATATTTGCTTAATGTTTATGATGGCCATAAATCATTTTTTGAGTGGAGATAGATTCATATATATCATTTAATAGATTAATATTAGCAATATAGGGGGTTTTTGGCTGCCTCTATATGCTTCACCTTGATTTAATGTGAACCTTCATGCATTGCAATGACCCCAAACACACAAAAAAAACCCACAGTGGCTCTTGTTCGTCTGCCCAGTGTTGGCTGGGTCTTCCTTACTCACTGACATCCTTATGTTTTCTTATTGTTCTTGCTGTTTGAAGAAAATTTACACTGAATTTTCTATTTTTTTAATTAAACAGTAAAGATGCAAACAACATCATTCGGAGTGGTTTGGTGTGAAATGCTCTGTTCTAGAGAAACTTACAGAGTCAGAATTGTTCACAGTGGTGGTGATAGGAACCAGACGTCTGAAGAGTGTAATGGCGCTTAAAGCTCCCTCACAGAAAGTGAGTACATGAAATGAATACTCTGCCTGATTTGGCCGTTTTTTAAGCAATTCATGGTGGAGGGGTACATTAGTATAAGAAAAAACAGTCCCGAAGGAAGATTCGTCTGATTTGCAACTCTTTTACCATCATCAATGTTACATAAAAACTCAGAAGACGTGTGTAGGTTCACTGGTGTTTTTAGATCATTAATAAAATGGCATATTTGTCTTGTAGTCATGGCGACCCCTGGTTCCTATCACCACCACTGCAAAGAGACCTGAATCCGTACAGTCAACCATTTCACACCAAATGAAATAGAAATGTAAAAATATCATCTTATCAAAATCTGAAGTGTTCCATTACTTAACAGTCTTGTTCTAAGAAAAGTAAAAGTAAAACCGTTTATTTTTTACATTTGTCTGGTTTTGCTCACTGTTTGATCCAAAAAGATGGAAAAAGCTCAGAAGTGCAAACAAACTTGAGCCTTCAAAACTGTTCAAAAGAAGTCAGTGTTTTAAATAAAATCCTATTTCGTTGGAGATAAATATATAGAGTGACTCTATTATGTTAGTCCTGAGTAACTTCACGTCTCAAATAATTAATCTACAACCCCAGTTCCAAAAGAGTTGGGACGCTGTGCAAAATGTAAATAAAAACAAAATGCAATGATGTGCAAATCATTTAAACACTATATTTCATATTTGGAGGGTTATGAAATGAAAAATACGATAAAAGAAGACCTCGAACTGTTGAACAGCTGAAATCCTGCAGCAAACAAGAATGTTAAAACATTTCACTTTCAAAACTACAGCAGTGTCTCCTCAGTTCCCAAACGCTCACATTCTTGTTAAAAGAAGAGGTGATGAAACACAGTAAACAGGCCCCCGTCCCAACTTTTTTGGTGTTGTTGGCATCAAATTCAAATTCAAATTCTAGCATAAGATTATATTTTTTAGATTCTTTTCCAGTGTGTTTTTACAACCCTGATTTTTATATGAATTTGTTACTAATAAAACTGTAAAATTATGGAATGTTCCTTATATATATGAACAAATTATTCTATTGTATTTGTAGAATATGTCCAGAATATGTACTGTAATTTAACAGAATTTTCCATTAAATGAGTCATGGAATTGTCTGTTAATTTTACAGAAAATATACCAGAATTTTTACCAGCACATTTCCTGTTTCTTTCATGGACTTCTTTTCAGTGTTCTAAGCTGTAGAAGCTTCTTAAACGACTGAAAAAGCTGTTTGGCAATAAAAAATTAAGCAGTGATAAAATTAATATCGGGAATGACTCCTTTCAACTGTGGTGATCAAAATTTAGGCTAAAACCTGACACAACATTTCTCTAACCAGATTTTTACCGATATTGTTTATCACATTTAAATGATATCAGTTTCTTGCTTCTTTGAAAATATTTGAAATATTGAATAACGCATCTACAAATACCCTTTGGCGTGTTATTTATAATATCTAAATCCCTACTGCATAAGTTATTATTGAATATACAGTAAGAAAAATGAAATATGAAATGTGAATCAAGTCACTGCGTAACTGTAACACTGCATCATTAGTTACGTAACTGCATTTAAATAATAATGTACAGCAAAACAGCATCACTGTAGGTTATCACTTCTGAAGGTTAATACTTCAAAGCATTGCCCTTCAAAGTTTAACAAAAGGGCTTTCAAAGCTTCAAACCTCACTATTCTCTTTGATAAGCAGAACCAAAACAATGCTTACAGTCCAGCTGATCTAAGCACGTGTGCCAAAACACACGTGTGCTCTGGGAGATTTACTGTCCTGCTGAGTTTACCAGTCAAAATCTAGCACATCTGCTACAGTACCAGCATGGGCGTTGTTGTTCAGTGTGACTTCAGAGTGACTTATTACACACTAACGTTTATTATTCGGTGACTACAGGGACATCAGTGTAAACTGGCTGAGCTATTCTTAGGTTATACAAGTGTGTAATAAAACTTTGGGTGGCCCCTGGCCATTTAAGGGGCTAACTCTTTAAACTGTTAATCTAACAGAGCACATATGGGCAACAAGAAACACCTGTCGTTCACATGTTCTGATATTTGTTCTCACTTGAAAAATGGCTGGGTTCACATACAAGGTGTCATGGACAGTGAGTGGACACAGCGTTTAAAGGTGCTTAAACACTCCAGCAGCACTGCTGTGTCGAAAACAGCAAGGTGGTCTATTTTCCTGCAGGGGGGGGTTCAAACGTGCAGGGCCGAAACACACCGATTGCTGGCATCACTCACCACTGCCACTGGAGCTGGACTGTTTATGTTGCCTGGGAGATGCCGCTGTCAATCATTTTACATATATTAAAGCATTAATTCTTTCCTGAAATATTGTGTATTTTATCAAGGAACAATGAACAAATGATAACACAGCACTGATTAAAACCTTTGCTTTACTTTTTGGTCACTAAATTACCACCGAGCCTTATTTAGCACCAGTCCAGTGGTGCCCCTGTTCTCACACTGGGGCTGACTCTCAAATGGCTCCCTGTTCCCTACATAGTGCACTACGAAAGAAATTTAAAGCCCAACAGTGCAAAATATAGCTAAGAAATAGTCATTTGGGATCTATCCATACTCGATAAATGATGCACTATTTGGCTGTAGAGACTAGAATTTCTAATCTTTCATAACTAGCACACTATTTAGGGAGTACAGAGCCGATTGGGATTCAGCCTGGGTTTGACGCTACTTCTGACTAAAACACAGACATCTGAAGCGCGTAATCCATTCAAGTGACATTTTTTAGACTATTATTTTGTCAGTTTGCAGTAAATCATACCGTAAGTACTGTAATTCAAGCCTGTGATATTAATGATGGAGTTGTTTAGGCTGTTGGCTAGCTAACCAGCCCAGTTTTTAAACAAAAACGGACAGCACAAGGGTTTTTTGTGATGTGGTGCAGTTATACACATTTCAGTAGCTGTTGGAGGCCATAGCTGTGCATATATTGGGGATTTTACAACAGCTCCAAACGCGGCTCAGCCAGTCAGATTTTAGGACCGGAACAAATACATATATTAAAGAAAAATCAAATATATATATAGATAATCTCCTCCACACAAAACCTCTTCCACAATAAATAATCCCCACAGGCCCCCTATAGAAGAGGTCTGGGCTTAGCCCTTTGTCTTTAGATCCTAGCCACGCCCTGGGAACAGCTAAACACGGACTGCAGATGTCCAGGAAAAGTGTTGGGCAATTCTAGGAAGCCTTTAGGAAACTCTGAGCAGCATATGGGCAACACCTTCACTGTTTATGTGCCACATGTGTCCCAGAACACCAGGCTAGACTGCGCTGGCTGCTGTAATGATGACCCAAGTGGTTCACTAGAAACCAGGTGTTCGTGCCAACAACTGCTTCAGAGAACCACAGCAATTCCTCAGATGAATAACATGAGGTTGGCAGAGGCCATATGATGACTCAATGTATCCGTATTGTTTGCCTCAGTCTCTACAAAAACAAAACTCCTACAATCATGAATTGCATAAGTTAACCAGTGTCTCATAGGGTGGCTTCTGGTGTTGTGTGGAAAAAGTCTGCAAGTCCCTTTAGTCTCCTTACTTCTGCACTTTATTCTTGGGGATCTGTCTTTTTTAGGCACATTCCTGCTGTGTTAGAAAGGAACTTCTATGTTTTAGCCTCAATTATTTTTTTCCAGCTTGACACAATTAAAGGGAAGTGATAACACAAAACTATTTTACTTGTCCTCACTGACATGTTTAGGGACTCTTACTTCAAGTTGGTTTTAAGTGATGTTTTTACTTAACTGTTTTGAAATTTACCCACTTCCAATGTAAGTGTAAGGAGGTAGAGAGTGTACACTCTCAGA